TGGAAATGGGTCCAGGAGACCATCCACAGTGCAGAATTATAACAGTTTGAGACCACTTTAACTCCATCCTGGGATTTGTTGTGGCACCTCAGACAGAGAAGGGCAAATATTTCACAAAATTACAAATCCCTGAATTCCAAAGCATTGATCCACAGCAATTAATGTGGTGTAAAACTTTTATCATTCTGAAGTGAAGACACAAGCTAGAATGGGTGCAGTTTGACACCACTTTGTCTCAGTCCTACAGGTCCGTGTGAGTTGAAGTTGCAGTTTTATAAACTATTTAGCCTTCCTCCTCACCAAGTCACAACTTCCATTATTCCCTATAACTAAGCTCTTAATGAGACATGCCGCGTTATCACCCTACACCACTGGAGAAATTACACTGTTTAGCCGGTATTGCACCACCTGACATCCGCCGGGAAGTAGCAGCCAATAGTGAAAGGACCAAGGCAGAGACATCTCCAGCTCATCCCCTGTTTGGGTATCAGCCAGCACGTCAACAACTTAAATCAAGAAATGGTTTTCTAAAATCTACAGAGACACTCGCTGGAACACCTCAGTAAGCAAAAGTCCAAGAGTGGCAGGCTCAAACCCAGAACCTCAATCAATGGCTGATACCAAATGAGAGACTCCCCCCTGGGCACACAGAGGACTTGGAAGGCGCTGAACAGACTGCGCTCTGGCACCACGAGATGCAGAGCCAACCTTCAGAAATGGGGCTACAAAGTGGAATCCTCGACATGCGAAGTGTGGAGAGGAACAAACCACTGACCACCTGCTGCAATGCAACCTGAGCCCTGCCACATGCACAATGGAGGACCTTCTTGCAGCAACACCAGAAGCACTCCAAGTGGCCAGATACTGGTCAAAGGACATTTAATCAACTACCAAACTCACACATTTTGTATTTTCTCTGTTTGTTTGCTTTGTTCTGTTAGAAATGTAATATAATTGACTGGCTGCCCTGACACGAGAAATAAATAAAGCTCATTAAAATGGTGTCAAATGGCATTCTTTCTACAGTGTTGGTACACCCCAAGAACCAAAGCACAGACAGTTCCCAAGTTACAAACAAGATAAGTTCTGGGTTGCTGTGAGTTTTCCAGGCTGTATGGCCATGTTCCAGAAGCATTCTCTCTTAACGTTTCGCCCATATCTATGGCAGGCATCATTAGGAGAGAATGCTTCTGAGAAATGGCCATACAGCTTGGGAAACTCCCAGTAACCAGTGATTCCAGCAATGAAAGCCTTTAACAACACAAGATAGGACCACTCTAACAAGAACCATGTCAGACTACACAGAGAAGCCATTGAAATCCACAATCAACAGAAAGGAGGAAACCATGAAAATGAACAAATTCTGGCTACCAGTACTTAAAAACTCTAAAATCAGGACAGTAAATAAAGATCAACCAAATGTTTTGCTGTCTGTGCAAATTCCACTTCACTTTCTGTCCCTGTGATAATGGGATTGTGAAACATTTGGCTTGTTGTGGAAACAAGCTAATGCTTCAGTGGAGCCACCTTTCCCCCTTGATAATAACTCTTCCAGGAGTGATTTTCCCTTCCTAGGGATAGATTTCTCTCACTTCCTGTTGTCTCGTTCTTAACTATTAGTCGTTTGTAAGTCGAGGACTGCCTGCAATGAAAAAAGGACGAGTGGAAAACTCCAGGGTGGGTCAAGGCGTGTCTTGCGTGGGCTTAGGGCGCCCCCTTGTGGACAGCGACGGCAACAGAAAAGAACAGCGAGGGATGGCAAAAGAGGCAAGACTATTTTCTCCCACTCTGGACTATGCCACAGATATATAAACCCCACTTGCCCCGTTTCTAACAGACCTCACAACCTCTGATGCCTGCCATAGATGCAGGCGAAACGTCAGGAGAGAATGCTTCTGGAACATGGCCATACAGCACGCAAAACTCACAGCAACCCAATGGAGAAAGAGTTAAGGATCCCTTCTTCGCCTCCCGCCAGGCTGGAATTCCTTCCTACTCCCAACCTCCTTCCTTTGACTCTCACACACACAAACCTATCTCAGATTCCTCACCACGATCTCATTGACATTGCAACTGATTTTTTCCCCTTTCCACTTTCTCAACGTGGCAGCAGAGCCGCCTCGAGGATCCCAATCAGAGGAGCTCATTTCGCGTACAAGAAGGACAACAAAGAGTAATAATAATAATTCAAGGGAAAGGATAGGAAGATCTCAGAGCTCTGGTCTAGCACATTTCCTCGAAATGAGCAAATATATTGCGCATCTTTGCAAGCCTTGAAATGAGGAGAAAGATACATATAAGGAGCTCAAAAGAAGGACGGGAAAGAGGCCCTTCCTCTGCCAACCCGACATAAACCACACTGAGAAGCCACAAGGGCTTGTTGGCTATTTCCTATCAGGAGGTAAACGGGGTTTAAGAATTGCTTCGACCGCTCAGAGCAACACCAAGCCACGTTTGAAGACAACCAGTGAGAGGCTCTACCCCAGGCATGGGCAAACTTGGGCCCTCCCTCCAAGGGTTTTGGACTCCAACTCCCACCATTCCTAACAACCTCAGGCCCCTTCCTTAAGCGGATGAGGGGGGAAAGGAAAGGGCCTGAGGCTGTTAGGAATGGTGGGAGTTGGAGTCCAAAACACCTGGAGGGAGGGCCCAAGTTTGCCCATGCCTGCTATATCTACCTCTCCCTCTCCCTCTCTCTCTCTCTTGTCTATGGTAAGCATCCTCTGTTGATCCACACTAAAAAGCTGGGGAATTCCAGACAAGAATCAACCAGAGCCTGCTAACGCCTCCCAACAAAGGATTCCCCCAGGCAGCAACCACCCAGGCTTTGAAGCTGCAAAGCCATTCAATGCTAATCAAGGTGGCCAGTTCTCCAGGGTGGGAGAAAGAGCTTTTGAATGCTTGAGGCAAGTGTGAATGTTGCCACCTTGATTAGGATTTAATGGCCTTGCAGCTCCAAAGCCTGACTGGTTACTGCCTGGGCGATCCTTTGTTAAGAGGTGTTAGCTAGTTTCTGTCTGAGGAAATCCTTTGTTGGTGTTAGCTGGCAGACAAGAGTTCTTTCTCCTACCCTGGACATCAGATATATAAACCTCACTTACCTAGTTTCCAACAGACCTCACAACCTCTGAGGATGCCTGCCACAGATGTGGGTGAGACGTCAGGAGAGAATGCTTCTGGAACATTGCCAGACAGCCCGGAGAACTCACAGCAGCAACCCCATGATTCCAGCCATGAAAGACTTCAACAACATATCCTTACAGCACCTGGTGCTTGTCTCCCATCCAAGTGCCAACCAGACCCAGCTTAGTTAATTCCTAGTTTCAGATAGGATCTGTTGCCTTTATTAAATAGACCCTTCCCATTTACTTTATCTATGGTTGGGTAAATTTTAACTCATTCTTTTTTTAAAAAAAAAAGTGTCAAGGGATCCCTCAAATCAGTGTGTGGGCTTAACAGAACAGAAAGTTCATTAAAATAATAACAATAACTCCTTTCATTGGTGGTCTCCCATCCAAGTGCCAGCCAGGGTTGACCCTGCTTAGCGTCCAAGATCAGATGTAATTTTAGACCTTTCAGATTTACTGTAACCTTGGATACATTTGGCCTCATATTTTCAAAAAAAGTTTCAAAGAATGCTTCATATCCAACAGAAGAGTAACTTCATTTTTAAAATACCCTTTTTTTGTGTTCGGTCTCCCATCCAAGCTCCAGCCAGGGCTGACCCTGCTTAGCCACAAAGACCAGTCAAGACCTGAGATCTTTTGGTTGGGTAGTGAGATCCCTCTCCCCGCTTTCATGGTTCTTCACACACCGTTCATGTCTAATCCATTTCGCCCTGGTAGGAGTGCCCAGTGGCACAATGGGTTAAACCCGTGTGCCGGCAGGACTGCTGACCGACAGTTCGGAGGTTCGAATCCGGGAGAGCGAGAGCGTGGAGGAACTCCCTCTGTCAGCTCCATGCGGGGACATGAGAGAAGCCTCCCAAAAGGATGGTAAAACATCAAAGCATCCCCCGGGGAACGTCCTTGCAGACGGCCAATTCTCTCACACCAGAAGCAATGTACAGTTTCTCAAGTCACTCTTGGCAAAGTCTTTGCAGACAGCCGATTCTCTCACACCAGAAGCGACTCACAGTTTCTCAAGTTGCTCCTGGGAACATCCTTGCAGACTGCCAGTTCTCTCACACCAGAAGTGACCTGCAGTTTCTCAAGTCTCTCCTGGGGACTTCCTTACAGATGGCCAATTCTCTCACACCAGAAGCCCAATTCTGTGGCACCAGAAGCGACCTACAGTTTCTCAAGTCGCTCCTGGGAACGTCCTTGCAGACAGCCAGTTCTCTCACACCAGAAGCGACTTGCAGTTTCTCGAATTGCTCCTGGGAACGTCCTTGCAGAGGACCAGTTCCCTCACACCAGAGGTGACCTGCACTGTCTCAAGTCACTCCTGGGAACGTCCTTGCAGACGGCCAGTTTTCCCACACCAAGAGCCCGATTCTCTCACACCAGAGCTCCTGGGAACGTCCTTGAAGACGGTCAGTTCTCTCACACCAGATGCCCAATTCTCTCACACCAGAAGCAACTTGCAGTTTCTCAAGTCGCTCCTGGGAACGTCCTTGCAGACGGCCAGTTTTCTCACATCAGAAGCCCATTTCTCTCAACCCAGAAGCGCAAGTCGCTCCTGGGAACGTCCTTGCAGACAGCCCGTTCTCTCACACCAGAAGCAACTTGCAGTTTCTCAAGCCGTTCCTCGGGAACGTCCTTGCAGACGTCCCGTTCTCCCACACCAGAAGCCCAATTCTCTCACACCAGAAGCGACTTGCAGTTTCTCAAGTCGCTCCTAACACACAAACACACAAAATCTCGTCCTGGTTGCATCCCGGTTTAAGGCATCCTCACTTTGGACTGCCAAGGCGCATCTACTCCCATCCCCAGCCCAAGGCAAAGGCAAGGAGGCGCATCTAGGTTGCAAAGGAGACGGAGGCGCACAGAGAGACAGACCTTTCAGGGGATGGAGACGGAGGCCAGTCCTGGAGGGCAGAAGAAGAGCCTCTCTCTCCCTCCTTTTCTCCCTCCTGCTTAGGGTGAGACGGAGACTCGGGGAGGTGCGTGCCTTCCTTCCCTCCGTCGGGGCAGCCTCGCCTTCTCGGAGTGGGAAGCGCCTCTGGCCAACCGCGCTCCTTAAGAGAGACGGGGAGAGAGGGCTGCTCCCGACTGGTTACGAAACGGCGGCGGAGGGAAGGAAAGGTGGACGCCTGCCACCGAGGAGGAGGAGGAGGAGGATGGCCCACGCGCGCCTCCAGCGAAAGGGGAATCTCTCTCTCTCTCTCTTTCCTTCTGGAAAGTGGCGCATTCCTCGGCGCATTCCTAAGGCATGAGGAGTCCCCCCATCAGCTCTGGAGAAGGGTGATGAAGAGGAAGGAGGGGGCACAAGGGGGCAGGAGGGGACGCCCAGCCAAGAACACACGTCTCTCCCTTTCCTTTCCCCCTTCTCCCTCTCTCAATCCCTCTCTCTCTCTTTTAGAGCCAAGCGGCAGCCTTGGCGGAGGCCAGTGCCAAAAGGGAGCCGCGCAAGTGGACGCCCCGAATGGAGACTCCCTGCAGCCGCTTCTCCTCCGCGATGGAGAGGCTTCAGGGCGACCAAGCAGGCCCCCCACCTCCGGGATTGGGAGAATATTGGGGGGGGGGTGATTGGAAAGCCACCGAAGCAGGCGCCTATCTTAGGGCTTTGGATAATAATAAGGGGAGGGGGTGTAAATGACAAGCTACTTTAGGATCCAGCCACAGATGGAGGCGAAACGTCAGGAGAAAATGCTGCTAGAACCACACACCACCCCAGTGACTCCCGCCGTGAAAGTCTTCCACAATATTTAGGAAACCCAAAGTGAGGATTTAGGGCAGTCATGGGCAAACTTGGGCCCTCGAGGTGTTTTGGACTTCAACTCCCACCATTCCTAACAGCCGATAGGCTGTTAGGAATGGTGGGAGTTGAAGTCCAAAACACCTGGAGGGCCCAAGTTTGCCTATGCTTGGTTTAAGGGCATCTCTTTCAGGGAATATGTCCTTGTGTGCATTAGATATGCCAATCTATCTCATATTCCTCCTATTCATCCATATACAGGCAGTTCCCAAGTTCTGAACAAGATAATATCTGTAGGTTTGTGCTTAAGTTGTATGTATATATGTTTTTAGTTTTGGATAACATAGAGAAGGGTTAGATTTGGCTTGCTGTGGAAACAAGGATTGGTGATAAAACTGCACTGGAGACACCTTTTCCCCATGAAAACACTTTCAGGAGTGAATTTCCTTTCCTAGAGTGAATTTGTATGTAAGTTTTTAGCTTTGCATAGCATAGGGAAGGGTTAGATTTGGCTTGCTATGGAAAAATGGATTGGTGCTTCAGTAGAGTCTCCTTTCCCCCATGAAAACTATTCCAGGAGTGAATTTCCCTTCCTGGGGGAAGATTTCTCTCACTTGCCGTTGTCCACACCCCGTTCGTAACTATGAGTCGGTAGTAAAGCGGATGTTCGTAAGTCGGGGGCTGCTTGTGTGGATATATATGTGTGTGTGTGTTCTCTATGTGTGTGTGACAGAGAGAGTAGATCAGGCAAACGTCAGCCATCCAGGTGTTTTGAAGTTCAACTATAATTGCTAACAGCCTACTGGCTGTGATAGATAAGATTGACAGACAGACACACAATCCCAGAAAGAGATGTTGTTGTTCATTCCTTCAGTCGTTTCCGACTCTTCGTGGCCTCATGGACCAGCCCATGCCAGAGCCACCTTCAGAGTCAAGCCAGTCACTTCAAGGGAAGTGAAAGGGATACATAATATATAATACACACAACCACAAATTTCCTGGGGAAAAAGAGAAATATCTTTCAGGGAAAATGTGTTTATGTTTTATACACACACATATCACATATTATTTTACCCTTGTGTATCTAATTAATACACACAAATCAGGCATTCCCTGAAAGAAACTGAGCAACATTCACTCCCCCATCCAAAAAAAGGAAAAGTTAACATCTCCCGAACAGAGGGTACCTTCAGGCAACAACAGCCAGGCTACGTGTATGCAGATACTCTCACTGATTGACTTTGCAATTCCATGGCTACTCAATGCTATTTAAGCTTGCTAATTGCAACATCCACACTTGCAAAGATTCTTTATCCCACGGGTATACATTTGATTCACCAACAAAACCTGTTAAGATGCCAGCCACAGATGCAGGCGAAACGTCAGGAGAGAATGCTGCAGGAACATGGCCACACACACACACCCCTCCACCCCCCCAAAAAAACTCACAGCAACCTAGTGATTCCAGCCATGAAAGCCTTCGACAGCACAACATATGAGCTCCTGGTTTTTGTGTTTCCCTTCCAGGCAAAGAGAATCTCCATCTGGGAATATGTGTTTGTGTACAACATCTGTCTATCCACACACATACACACATGTAATAAACACATAAGCATACATTCCCTTAACCCTCAGCTCTCCAAGGGTTTAGGAGTGGGGTGGGGTAGGGAATCTCTTCTAGGAAGTGTGTGTTTGTGCCCTCCAATAGAATTCACGCAAATGGGTGCATATAATGAACAAATATCCCTCTCAAAGGAAGGCAAAGACATCCCTTCCCTCTGAACTAATCTGGCCAAGAAAAATCCAAGATAGGTTTCTCATAAGGTCGCCCTGAGCCAGAAACTGAAGCCCACGGTGGCGCAATGGGTTAAACCCCTGTGCCGGCGGGACTGAAGACAGACAGGTCGGAGGTTCGAATGTGGGGAGAGCGCGGATGAGCTCCTTCTGTCAGCTCCAGCTCCCCATGCGGGGACATGAGAGAAGCCTCCCACAAGGATGGTAAAAACATCAAAACATCCGGGATTCCCTGAGCAACGTCCTTGCCGACGGCCAATTCTCTCATACCAGAAGCGACTTGCAATTTTTCAAGTCATTCCTGGGAACGTCCTTGCAGACGGTCAGTTCTCTCATACCAGAAGCGACTTGCAGTTTCTCAAGTCGCTCCTGACACGGGAAAAAAGCCAGAAACTGCTTGAAAGCAGTCAAACCAAGTGTCGGCTGAAGTAGAGTAAGAGTAAGAATAATCATGTGCACAGAGACATATTCCTCGAAAGAGATTCCCTCGTGGGGCCATATGCAGACCTCGCAACTTTTTCGAAGTCCTCTCAAGCCAGAAATCTTGGAGGCGAAACTGGGCAAAGCTGAGGGCGAATCCAACTCTGAAAAGCCAACCAATACTGAGTGCTGCAGTCTATATTTCAAAGGAAGTAGCTAACTAAGAGCCCTTCCACACAGAATATCAAGGCAGAAAATCCCACATTATCTGAGTGTGGACTCAGATAACTCAGTTCAAAGCAGATATTGTGGGATTTTCTGCCTTGGTATCCTGGGCTGTTTGGAAGGGCTCAAAGCCGCCTCTTAAGTAGTCCTTGCGGAAGGAAACCCATTGAAATATATCTAAGTCAGCTTGGAAGGACACACCCAAGCAGCTCTTTGGCTTTGTGCCTTGTTCAGGGGATTTCCTTTCCACCAAAGGGCGAGAGATAGGACTGTTCTCGTTGGGAAAGGACGCACATCCTCGCTTCCAATTTACAGCTCAGGCCCCTTCCACACAACTGAATGAAATCCCACATCATCTGCTTTGAACTGGGATATAGAGCAGTGTGGCCTCTTACCCCAGTTGTGCCTTGATATTCTGGGTTATGTGGCTGTGTGGAGGGGCTCCCAGTTCAACCCCATTGGGAAGGGCGGGGCCTCAAGCCGCGTTAATTGCGAATTAATGGCAGAAGCACTGCTCCTCATCCTTGGGCAACTCTTTCCCGCCTTTTTCCTCCACACCCAAAACACTGCACGTGGGTGTTTTGGGCGGGAAAAGCCCAGCCTGACTGAATGCTAAGCGGAAAGGAAACCAAACCACCGAAGGTTTCACTCTGCATTGTGGGGCCAACTTTCCAGCCTCTTGCGATGGTCAGAGCAGCTGACAACCAAGGCAGGAGGGAGTCCTCTTCTCTAGTTGTAGACAAACACAAAGGGTCTCCAAATTATCATTATCCCAATGAACTCACCACCCGACTTTTGCAAACTGAGCCACATATTGCGACTCCACCAGAAAAGAAAGTGAAGAGATCCAACAAGGTCTATAGACAATGGACCATTCTACACTGTAGAACAGGCATGAGCAAACTTTGGCCCTCCAGGTATGTTGGACTCTCCCATTCCTTCCTTAAGCGGCTGAGGGGGAAAAGGAAAGGGCCTGAGGCTGTTAGGAATGGTGGGAGTTGAAGTCCAAAACACCAGGAGGGAGGGCCCAAGTTGGCCCATGCCTGCTATATCTACTTCTCTCTCTCTCTCTCTCTCTCTCCCTCCCTCCTATATGGCAGGCATCCTCAGAGGTTGAGCAACACTCAAAAAGCAAGGGAATTCCAGACAAGAATCAATCAGGACCAGCTAACACCTCCCAACAAAGGATTCCCCTAGGCAGCAACCATCCAGGCTTTGAAGCTGCAAAGCCATGCAATGCTAATCAAGGTGGCCAATTGTCCAGGGTGGGAGAAAGAACTCTTGTCTGCTTGAGGCAAGTGTGAATGTTGCCACCTTGATTAGCATTTAATGGTTTTGCAGCTCCAAAGCCTGACTGGTTGCTGCCTGGGAGAATCCTTTGTTAGTGTTAGCTGGTTGCTGCTTGGGGAAATCCTTTGTTCAGTTTTAACTGGCAGACAAGACTTCTTTCTCCCACCCTGGACGTCCCACCGGCAAACCTCACTTGCCTAGTTTCCAACAGACCTCACAACCTGAGATGTGCCCAAACAAAATGGGCAAGGGAGGGAAGAGCAGAGGCATCCCATTCCCACACCAAGCGCCAGCATGGAGGAATGATTTGAGCCTTGCAAATTGGCTCTGGGTTCAAATTCCCACTTGGCCATGAAAACCTACTGCATAACCTTGGGCAAACCACACTCTCTCAGCCTCAAAAATCTGAACAAACCAAGAAAGCTCCCAGAGAGGTTTGTGTTAAGGCCACCATAAGTCAGACACATCTTGAAAGGACTCAACAACGACAAACATTGACAGAAGAAGAAGAAGAAACAAGCTGGAGCATCAAAGCACTAGGTTGCTGTGAGTTTTCCGGGTTGTATGGCCATGTTCCAGAAGCATTCTCTCCTGACGTTTTACCCACATCTATGGAAACTAGGAAAATTGGTCAGCAATCCTGCCGGCACAAGGGCTTAACCACCTGGGCAATACCGTGACTAGTGATAAAGCAGGTAAGACCCTAGTCTGGTGGAGTCGCCTTCACTGAATGTTTCGAAACAGAGGCTGAATGGCCCTCTGTCAGGAGTGCTTTGATTATATATTAATATAGGTTGGATGGGAATCAGGACCCCTGGGGGGGGG